CTGTTCTCTTGCTGCCGCACTACCTGCCTCCTCACTGACGTCATCGTCTTCCAACATCTCGCCGGCAGTCACCTCAGGATCCCTGATTACCTCCATGATGTCGTCGTTGGTGGTCTCGGAGAAGCCTGCAGCTGTAACACTCTGTGCAGCTTCTCTTGCAAGGTCCACTGCCACTGCAACAGACTGAACCTCACCAGCCACAGGTTGACTCTGCCTCCCACGCATGACGAATCGTTGCCACAGACAGCTGCCCCCATGCCTCCACGAAGAAATCAACAGCTTTCTTTACGTTAAACATTTTCCAAAACTGTTTAACTCGCACTTCATGCTCCGCCAACTCTTGTTCTGCATCCTCGTTGTCGTTGCTCTCACTATCTGTGCCACTCAGAAGGTTACGCAACTCGTCCTTGGTGTTGGTACAGTCGTTCAGGAGCTTAAACTTCTTTGCAGAGAATGCAGCCTTAATGGTGCATATCAACTCTTGGTCCATGGGCTGGATTAACGACGTAGTGTTGGGAGGAAGGAAGACCACTTTTACACTGGGGTGACGATCCAACAGTTGGGGCGAGTGTCCTGGTGCGTTGTCAAGCAGCAACAAAATGTTGAATGGCACATTATTTTGCGCGCAGAATTTCTTCACGTCGGGAACGAAACAGTCGTCAAACCAGGAGAGGGACAGACCAGTGAACATCCACGCCTTACGTGAGTTTAGCCAGTGGACATTTAGCTTGGTCATGTCCATGTTCTTGTAGGCGTGCCGCTTGCGGGCTGTGTGGATCACCGACAACTTGAGCTTACAGATACCGGAGGCATTTATGGTAAACAGGACGGTGATGCGCTCCTTCTGCAATTTTCGACCCCGACACTTGCTGGCAGACTGGACAACAAAGGTCTTGGAAGGTAATTTTTTCCAAAACAGACCGGATTCATCCATGTTGAACACTTGGTCGTCGGTGTACTGTCCTTCCTCCATAACTTCTCGTAAGAGTGGAGGAAAATCCATGGTGGCAGCACGGTCAGCACTGGCTCCTTCACCAACAATGTTAATGTTGGTAATCTTGTTTCTTTTCTTAAATCCTTGCAGCCACCCAGAGGAAGCAGTGAAGGGTTTGGGCTTGGCAATTCCCATCTTGCGCGCCACTGATAAGTACAGTTCACGAGCATAGTCCTGCACTGCCCGTGTGTCGATCGCCATGTTCCGTCTTGCCTGACGAATTAAGTAGCTCACCAGTAAGTTCTCAGTCTTGAGCAGCACCTTATTCTGACAATACTTCACCATTGGAGCACCTGCAGACTTTGTGATGCTCATGTATTCTTTAATCTTAGCGGCATCCTTCTTGATCGTCCGGATCATAGATTCGTTCACGCCATGCTGGCGCGCCAAATCAACTTGTCTCGTTCCTTTCTCTAAATCTTGCACGATCTTGTACTTAACTTCGTAATTTAGGGCATGTCGTATCTTCTTGGGCTTGAGGCGGCTGGGTCCAGGTAATGCAAGGTTTTTCTGGGGTGGTGGGGGTCCAGTGGATGCCATTGTTGAACAGATTAGCGAGCACAAGGGAGAACAGTATACGCGTTGACTGAGAACAATGAGACTGACGCGGCTGGGTCAGTAGCTTCCCTCCCGTGCCAGGCCACGTCATATAACATTAGACCAATACAGTCCGATACGTCATATAACGTCAGGGGTAACGCATAACGCAACAGCGACATACTGCACATCCATATCCACGCCGCTTCCCGTGTATGGTCGAGAATGGACCACATGAATGAAAAATGGCGCTGCGAGTCTGGACCTCCAGCCGCTCTCCACATAAATGACCAAATTTACCGCGTAATTAAAGCATCTACATTATGGCAAGGCTCAGCGTAAATGACTAAACGCGTAAACAAAAACCGCGTAAATGCAGACTATACTATACACGTAATTTGTGAAGGACTCCAGGTTGCTGTAGAAAAATGTGAAGAACCATAAATTTTTTTGATAATAAAAGTGTATTGGAAGCCTTGCAGAGTAAAAATCCATGTAACTTTCATATTGTTAATATCTGTAAACAACTGGTCATAGTAATGTAAGAAATGAAATGCACTGTGCAGTTTTATTGATTCCATCACATTGGGGATTCTTAAATGAAATGGCTGACAAATTGGCCAAAAAGCTGCAGAAAAGATGTATATAAATATTGTTAGCAATGTAAGTATGAGAACGATAAAGGGGGAAATGAAAAGAAAAAGAGAGGAATGGGAAAATGCAAGAAGAGAAGTGATTGCCATATGTAGCGAGAGTTTTCAGCATTATTTGTATGTTTTACAAAACACCAATGTAACTTATGGGACTAACTTATCATCTGTTGATACTGTAATAATGAGACTAAGATTGGGATACAAATATTACTGAGAGATAAGTCGAGGGGCGGGTCAACCTTGTCAACTGCGTCATCTTAGGGATTCACAGACACTACAACATTATGTATTAGGATGTGAAAAATCCAACCATACAGGAACAGTGAGATCACTACTTTAAAGAAACAATTTTGTTGGATGATTAGTAATGTAAAGATTAAAATAATTTTTGCAATGTATAAAATTTTTTGTACTTTTACATTATCTGTTCTTTTATTGTAGTACAGTGTTCATGTCAAAATGAACTATTTCATTGCTGTAAAAATAATTCTTGTGTTGTAAAAACATTTATAACATTTTGTATTCCCCAGAAGGGGATGGCAAAGGTGAAGGTGAGAAGGTGAGAGTACAGTAGTATACTACTACTATCTTGTCCATTTGATGTAATGGTTTTTATTGTTAATAAAATATTTCAATATCAATTTCAATTTCAGTGCGTCTAGAGTCTCTAGAATACCAATAAACGCAGCGCGCTAGCCATGGATAGGTTAACAAGGAGGCACGAGACTACGATGGCAATGATAGGTGTTATGATATCGTTGTACAGGAGTGGTTTGCACTCAGTGGAGATTGCAGAGAGATACGAAGTAAGCACAAAAAACTGCGACGAAATGGATCAGGCGGTATATGGAAGAAGCACATTAATAAATCAGACACCGTTCAGGCCATCCTCGCTCAACAACACCACATGAAGATGAACAGATTTATGAACAGATAAGAGCTACGCTTACAATAAATTCATGTAAAATAGAGGAGTTGCAACTGCAGTGCACATCGCGAACGATAAGGAAAAGACCGAATTTACAAGGTTTTTACATACGCATCCCAGCAATGAAACGTGTATTAACCGAACCACATAAAATCAACGCCTGGCATTTGCGAGACAATATGCAAACAAGAACAAGAACTTTTGGGAACGAGTCATATTTTGTGTTGAGAAAACATTTTCTACAGATGGTCTGGGACCACCATGCATTTGGCGAATGCAGAACACAAGGTAGTGTGAATATTGCGTCACTGTTGTTCCGCAAAATTGGTAAAACAATACAGACATTATTCGTAGTAGCAGGCATCCATAACAGCTTATATATAATGCTAATCATTTCTTTTACTGTATTATATTAAGTTGTTTACTACCGTGTGAAGAATTCCGTAGAACTATTTTGGTGGTGTCTCACTTGCTCACTTTCTTCAACATCCTCTGACATTTTACCACCGAAAACTACTGGTGCTTTTCATTAGATTTTTCCTCATTAGGCACAATGTTTCCGTTAGATTTATGTCATAAGCACTATAACAGTATACGTTAGTAACACTGAATACATTTAGCAACTTTTCTAGCATTCTTGACAAAAATCTGGTATAAGACTAGGAGAAATTCTAGAGAGAAGAGTTGACAATTGTGATTTTCGGCGGCAGAATGCTAAATAATCCACAAAATATTAGATTGTGTGACACCGCCTTTATGAATACATTACCATCACTGTTGCTTAAGTATACAGTACAATGCTTGATGCAGTGTTTAATATAGCATGGCCCCAACATAACTTATCGCCATGCTACCTGTCCATATGTCGTACCACCGCGATCTCCGAAATCGTCCCCCCCTGTCATTTACATAATCTCTTCTCGCAGATATGACGACGGCAACGTTGTTGCGTCAAGGCGGAGTGGCCACATTACTGCTTATTTTTTGGGTGGGTTGGGTGGCCGGGAGTGGTGTTGGTCTAGAAATACATTGGAATATTACAAGATGTCATGCTCCCATCTGTAACGGCAGTTCTGGTACCAGAGGGTGAACAGTTCTATTTCGTTCAGGACAACGGCCTGATCAACATTGCCAGGATTGTTAGGGACTAGTCTGCGGCTCATCAAAACATCACAGATTTGCAATGGCCGCCCAAGTCACCGAATCTTAATCCTAAAGAAAACCCAAGCCTGGGTTGGATGTGAAGGTCAAAGAAACTATAATATGCGGAATAACGAGGTGAACATCTTGTGGGAGACCTTCCGACTCCAGGAAAACATTATACAACACCTCGTCGAATCTATGCCAACGAGACTCCAGCACGTAATATTATAGATGCTAACGGAAGATATACGAAGTACTGATGTATTCGCAGTAAAATTGTCATATAACGATCCTTATTTGTTTTGATGATCTAATAAAACTTTCGATTGTTTTCTCCATGTTTACCTTATTAGTTTCAACTATTAATAAAATTTTACTTTCACAACAAATGCTGTGGAAAACCTAATACAGTATAGTGGTTGAGGGATATATGAGATGGAACCAGGGATTCAGTATATATTAATATAAACGTTCACATAAGCATATAAAAACAATTTGTGAACGATTGAATAAATGTATTTACATTGTCACATTACGAAGCCCCAAAATGGTGTAACTGCCAACTCCTTTCCAAGTTTCACCAGGCCTGCCAACCCCCTCTGCGATGTAAACAAATAGGTGCGTCGTATGTCTCAATCTTTCCTTGATGTATTCGTCAAATGTGAGGAAGATACTTGATTCCTTGACTGTACCTATATTATCTATAACTTAAATGTCAGGCACCTAGAAGGCTGCAATAACTAACCATTTCTGAATCTTCTTTCTTCAAAAATTGCTCTTTTACTGCTTGTTTCTTGGCTTCTCTTTCTCTCTTCTTCATCTCCCTCTTCTTTTTCACCAATTCGTTTTTCTCCGTCTCCCAAGCTATCAAAGTAGCTGTTACCTTCATTTGCTTCTTATCCTTTACCTGGACTTCGTCTAATTTTTTCTGGGCCTCCTTTTTCTTTTTTTCTTTTGCCTTTTTTATTTGTTCCGTCTTTGTTTTCTCCCACTCCAAGATAGCGGCGCCCACCTTCACTTCCTGTTCTTTCTTGGCCTGTAAACAAGAAAAAATATTACTTTTTTCTTTTCCAGTCATGTATGGTTAACAAAAATAAATGCCACGTACAGTACCATTTTTTTCTCATGAAGTCATTTTCAAGGCAACTGAAGTTCGTGCACAGGAGCAAAAAAAATTGCACAGAAAGATTAAACAAATGAACCAGAAAAAGAGGAAATAAATGGGGTGGGACTATTAAAAGCAACGGCAATAAGATCCTCTCTGAGAGATGGGCAGAGTACGTAGAAAAACTATACAATGGTAAGGGTCGAGTAGAGGTAAGAAACGAAAAGGAATTATAGATCGAAATGCCAAAAGTTGGGGCAACTGTGAGTAAAATAAAAATAATATACAGTTTGTGGGTTTGATCAGCTTCCAGCAGAATTTATAAAACAAATGGGCAAGAATGGTATAAATTGTTAGATTTAAATGTGTAATTCTGTGGAATTCAAAGGAGACCTTCCTAGTGATTTAAAAAAAATCAATATTTGTATTATTACCTAAAATACTAGGAGCCTTACAGTGCACCCAATTTATAACAATAAGCTTAATAAGTCATGCCTGTAAGGATTTATGAAAAATTATTTTAAATAGAATGAAGTTTAGAATAAAAAGTAATTTATCTGAAGTAGAAAATGGATTTAGAAAGGGAAAAGGAACTAGAGAAGCTGTATTTGGTTTGAGAATTTTGAGTGAAAGGGCTTTAGAAGTCCGAAGAAATTTGTACATCTGGAAAGAATAGGCATTAATAAAGGATATATTAGAAGTTTAAATCATCTTTACTGGCAACAGGAGGCTGCAGTGTTAGTAAATAATGAAATTATTAATGTTCACAATTAGACAGTGAGTAAGACAGGGCTGTGTTCTGTCCCCAAAATTGTATAATATATATTCAGAATTCGTATTGAGGAAAGTTATAAGTGATAATGAAGGAATAAAAGTTAATTGTAAATTAATGTCAAATGTTAGATAGGGTGGAATCAAGGGCATTTCGTCTTAATAACTCTCCTCCTTTAATTGATAATATCTCTTTCATTTCTCTTCGTCGCAATTTTGCTTTACTCTCTCTCATTTACAGATACTTTAACGGGCAATGTTCGGTGGATTTGGCAGCCTGTGTATCGCCGGCAAGGCAGTGAGCTCGTAACAATCGTCTTGCCCGCGGTGCCCACCGTTTCTGTGTGGATGTTGGTCACACTAGAATATCCCGTTGTATTACATCATTATTTCCTCACACAGCCAAACTGTGGGATTCTCTGCCTTCTGTGTTTTCATACGATTACAATCTGTCTCAATTCAAAAAGCTGGTTTTCCGGAATCTTCGTGGTGTCGATTAATGTAGTCTTTTTCTCTTCTATTTTTATTTTTAATTTCTTTTTACTCTTATTTTTGTGTGATAGCAGCGTGAAAGGGCGAATGATTATTAGGCTTGTTCGCCGGAATAATTGTTGTGTGTGAGTGCTGTCCACTGTCATATTGTCATGGTCACAATGACTGCTGGTCTGTTTGAAACCTGATGATTCATATTATGCTCCACACCCGCAAAACATGTGGATAACTGGTGAGTTATCCCGAAGAAGAAACGCGTTTTCTCTGGCTTAAGGTGCCGTCCATTTTCTCAGACTTCCTGAAACCAACCTTCCTATAAAGTAAATTTGAATGTGAGAGAGAACACCATTGTTTTGATTCAACTTAGATATGTCTGATTACAGTTAAAGCATTCAAGATCCTTTGTGAGTGATGTTGAAAGGTTCAACCACTAGACAAGAGAAGTTGAATGAGTTAATTAGAAACCAACCGTGGAACCATCTAGACCGAGAAATGCGTAAACATTTGCGGAAAGTAATTCTAGCTCATGATTCCTTGTTTGTTTTAGGACCACATGAAATAGGGTCAATTGCGGGTATACCCGCTAACATTCAGCTCGCCAACCACAATCCTGTCCGAGGACCACAGTATAGACACCCCGAGAAAGCAAAGGAGATAATTAAAGAAATGATAACAGATATGAGGGATCGAAATATCATTGAACCATCGACTGCCGCCTGGTTATCCCCCATTGTTCTGGTAACAAAACCCAACGGTTCAAAGCGTATGTGCTTAGATTTTCGAGCGGTCAATAAGCATTTGAAGGTCGACATACAACCCTTGCCACGAATTGACGAATTAGTAGAGAAAGCTGCGGGAAATAAATATTATGCCACATTAGATTTGAAGGATGCATATTATCAGGTCATCCTTAACGACAGTAGCCGAGATCTAACTACTTTTAGCGATGGGTACAATCTATGGAGGTTCACACGCCTTCCGTTTGGGCTCTCAGCTAGTCCTGCCGTTTTCACTCGAGAAGTAAACCGAGTATTAGCTCCATCAGCAGTTGAAGACTGGGTACGAAACTATCTTGATGATGTAATAGTATGGGCTCCTGACTTCCCCACCTTGTTGCAAAGACTCACCAGAGTATTTGAGAGATTTGAAGAGATGGGTATTAAACTAAATTTGTCTAAGTGTCAATTTGGCCATAAGCAAGTTAAATTCTTAGGACATGTAGTTTCAGAGAGAGGCATTGAGCCTGACCCAGAAAATGTCCAGGCTTTGACTGAGTGTAAACCCCCAGCTAATGTTAAACAAGTCCGCCAATTTTTGGGTATGTGTGGATTTTACCGTAAACATGTTCCCGAGTTTGCCAAAGTAGCTTACCCCCTCACTGAGTTAACGAAACAGACTGTTGATTTTGCATGGTCTAATGAGTGTCAAGAAGCATTTCAGAAGTTAAAGCAAGCACTAGCTTCATACCCAGTTCTTGTCAAGGCAGATATTTATAAACCATTCGAACTGCATAGTGATGCCAGCAATTTCTGTGTGGGCGCTTCCCTTAATCAGATACAAGAAGATGGCTCTTTGCGACCAGTGGGTTATTTTTCTAGAAAGTTAAAGCCGGCAGAAACTCGTTATTCCACCACCGATAAAGAAGCGTTGGGCATTGTATTAGCGTGCAGGTTCTTCCATCATTTTCTTTGGGGTACGCAGTTTACAATTAAGACAGATCACCAACCTCTAACCTCCGTCTTTAGAAAGAAAACCAAAAGTCAGCGAATGAACCGTTGGATCTTAGAAATGAGAGATTACGCTTATAACATTGAATACAAACCCGGTAGAGCTAATGTAGTGGCTGATGCATTAAGTCGACCAGTCAGAACCTTGAGAAAAGTCATGCACGACCATGTTGCCGCTCAATTTCCCACACTAGAAGGTTTCACACAGGCAGACTTTGGTAAAGAACAACAAAAAGAACCCAGGTGGCAAGAGTTAAAACAGTATTTAGCAGGAGGTAAAATTCCACAACATAAGTACCCAAAGGCCACCGTTGATAGCTTTGAAGTAATAAATGGAGTATTGTATCTAGTAAAAGAACAACTCGATAAAGCATTGAAGTATTGTCTAGTAATCCCTCAACATTTACGTAAAGCCGCATTAGAGTTGGCACATGACAATGCCGCCTCAGGTCATTTAGGACGGTGGAAGACCATCACCCGAGTAGCAAATTTGTTTTATTGGCCTAACTACCGTAAAGATTGTGTTGATTATGTAGCATCATGCGAGACGTGTCAAAGGTTCAAGGGAACTAAGGGACTTACGCAACTTTGGCAAGAACTACCAGTCGTAAGCAAACCACTGGAACGAGTTTCGGTGGATTTAACCGACATGCATTCCGGGATCAATGATTACCGATATGTGTTAACGATCATAGATCATTACTCAAGGTTCGTTAACTTCTATCCATTGCGCATGAAGACAACGCAAGAAGTTACCCGTGAATTTGAAAAGTTTGTTAATGTCTTCGGTAGTCCTAAAGTAGTGATTGCGGATAATGGAGGAGAATTTACTGCCGCACAATTCAGGGAGCTCTGTCGATTAACTAACATTCAAGTGTGTTTTACCTTGCCTTACCACCCCCGAGGTAACAGTATCACGGAGAGAATGCACCGAACTTTTAAGAACATTTTGTCAATAATGTGTGAAGATAACCCGCGTCGCTGGCCACGATTCTTGGGTCCGACCCAATATGCGTTGAACACTTCTGTTCACACAACGACTGGAGTGCAGCCACACTTCGCATTCTTCTCCCGGCATGCGCAGAGACAAGTGGGAATTGAGTTACCAATAATAGAAAACGAGAGTACTGAAGGGTTGAGAGAAGCTCACAGAGTAATTAAAGAAACTTCTGAACGAATGTCTAGAGAATTCCGGAACGTAGCAAACCGAGATAGAGTCAATCAGACAGTACAGCTAGGGGAAACTGTTTGGGTGAGAGATGAAGCTCCTATCCCAGGTACCAGTAGGAAATTAAATGCTAAGTGGAAGGGCCCATATACAGTAACTGAAGTAATACGTAATGGTGCAGCGTATGAGTTAACCCACCTTTCAGATGAGACAGAAGTAATTCGACGAGCAGCAGAAAAGGTGAAAAGATGTATCAACAGAGATATGTTTCTCCATGTAAATGACATCCAGGTTCCCCCTAATGATTCTTCCTCAGAATCAGAGCCTGATGAGAGAGATGCTATACGGGATGAGGAGAGAACAGTAGTTGCTCCTGCTCCCCGATTTCCCGTAAGGATGAGAAAACCAGTGGTGAGACTGGATCTTTAAAAGCAGTGAGCTTTTAAGTGACCCTCATTGGTTGATAATGAAGTGTGCAATCAGTTATAAGTAACTTGTGGTAAGGGGAGAGGTAAAGAATTGATGATTTTTTTTTATTAAAAGTATTTTGCAGATGAAGGGTCAATTTTCAGTAAAGACAGAGATTGGAAGATGGATTGGCTGGGTGTTGTTGATATATAGGTGTAGAGTTCGTGACTTTCAGGGAGTATTCGGGCATATAAATATGGTGCTATTACTTCTACATGGCAAATGCCATAAGTACAGACAGTTTTTGGTTTGGTGGTGTTCTCATGAGGACCGTTTCGTTAGCATTGATTCTTGGGAATACCCGCTCGTTCGGAGTCCCTTGAATGGTGCTGCCTCTCGCGAGTGCGACACAACTCTTTAGATTAAGGGCAACAAATCATTCCTTCGACTTGATGGGGTCCGTTCGTCTATGTCCTAGCTTGAGAAATCTATGTTAAATCTCAGTGTGTCCTGTACGCATTTGACCAATCGCATAAAAGAAACTTTCATGATCTATGAACATTGAAATTTGAGTTCTGTAAGGAAATTTTGAGTGTGCACTTTATCTACCGATGTGAGGGTGTATTTTGTAACATGTAACCCCATTTATTATTATTATTATATGATATGAGGTATCTAACTCAATTCATTATTATTCTATGATGATGTACTTAACCCCATTTATTATTATATGATATGATGTATGTAACACCATTTATTATTATTATGATATGATATGATGTATTTACCACCATTCAGTATTATTATGACATGATGTACCTAACCCCATGTGCTATTATTTTTGGTGCTATTTTGTAATATGTATCCCAATAAATTTTTTTATGAAGGTGTGTCACATTCTAGTTGTATGTTAACAGATTTCCATTTCTTTTACCCAATCCTGACCACCGGTAGGGAATTATTTTTCTATTTTTATTGATATAATTTGTGCAATGTTTTGTATGAGGATTTATTCTTTATATTAATCATTTACTGTGTATGTTACTACTTATGTGTTTTCTGAACGTTACCGCATAATATAAATCTTGGGGAAAGGGGAAGCTTTGTAATGATCATGATAATAGCTAACCTGAAAACCTTAAGGATTCATATTACGCTCAAACGTCCACAAAACCCTCTTGAGTCCCCCAGTGGAAACATCCCCCGTTTTCTCTGTTTCCCCCGTCTTTGTCTTATGGGAACCTTGAATATAATCCACGGATTTCGTAGCCGACGCTGTATGCTGGGACCTGTTGCCATCCAACCCTTTGTAATCAATTTAATTTTGCTTTTGATAGCTGAGTCAGAGCATTGTTAGTGAAGATAATAGTAGGGAATGAAACTGAATTCATAGTCTCAATTTCAACGTCAGAGTGTACAGTGAATTAATTCATCGGAATAGAAGTAGGTGGACTCCCTGGTCTGTTTTGAGTGAGGGCCCCGCGGGCATTTCTACCGTTAGTAAGTGCCCGTCCCTTCATCCATACAGGTATGCCATTCCACTCTGTGTTGTAATTCGCCCTTCTTTAAGTGATTTGACCCAATTAATAGTTGATTGTGCAAGTGTTCCAGTAACGTAGTTGATATGCTCTGAGTGAAGTCATATTTACGTCTTTAACGTCCCCTGAAACGTGATGTTGTTGTCACCGGTTAGTAAGTGCCCGTCCCTTCATCCATACAGGTCCCTAACGCAGCCTAGGCCGTGTCTGTAGCGTGGATGTTGTATCCACTATGTCTGGGGAGATGTCCGAGGTCCAGTAGGATCAGTTACCTTCGTGAGACCCGGCCGTCAGACACTTCAGACTACCTATAGCCCCCATAGCTGGCTCGTCTGGCCCTAACGCTCGGTCTGCGAGGTGACCCCGGATCACCAAGCCACACACCACTACCAGCCCCCATCATTGGTGGATGAGTGTCTAACTCAGTAGGGCTATTTGTGTGGTGGAATTAATCCACGGGGATCTTCAGAGTTCGTCGGAAAGTACTCCATGGTGGCTGTGTAATGACCACGGTCTTACACGTCAGTTAGCGCCAAAATCAAATGATTCATATTACGCTTAATAGCCCACAAAACATGTAACTTGGCTTTCGTTTGAGTCCTCCATCTGAGGAGTCCGTTTTCTCATCACTTCAAGACACCTCAGTCCTCCGTTATCCCATTTTCTCTGACTTACTGAAACCAACCTCTCTATAAAATGAATTTGAGTGTGAGAGAGAACACCCTTGTTTTGAGTCAACTTAGATATGTCTGTTTACAGTTGGAACATTCAAGATCCATTGTGAGTGGGGTAGAATGCTTCAACTGTCCTTATCGTTAGTAGAACGTGTCAAGTAAGTGAGTGTCGAGTTTGCCAGCTAGAGTGGCGTATTTTATGTCGTCCGTGGGGGTATCCATGAGTTTCTGATCGTGCCTGAAGTTATATCATTTTGTTGCCCCGACATCAGAGAATCTGATGTTTATAGTTTAATTAGTGTCAGTTGTCTATTTGAGAAAGTCATTAATCTCCTGAACTATTCTGTCAACTGGTATAATCTCCAAGATCTAGCGCCTCCCCGTGACTAGCTCCTTGTTTCGTCTCAGGCCTGAGCTTGCAGAAGTAATGTTATCGACGTGTATATTCCACCTTTTCCTGGCAAGCTCAACCTCTCATTAGATTATATGAATAGACATAGGAAATTACCCTGATCAAGAACACCGGAGTTCATAACTAAGTATACAGTGATCCAAAATGATAGAGAAGTTTTGTTGTTGGTAAGATCGACCCTTCTGGTATGAATACGGAGGCCCAAGCTGCCCCGCGAGTGCACGTATATACCTCGACACGAGGGAGAATCACGCATTCGTGACTTCCTCAACGTCTCTCCAGGTATGTTAACGTGTGTTCCCGCCGCCTATTAATTCAGTTTAACTTAGTCAATTTTGGTGAATATCAGTGCTCATGTGTTAACATAGTGAATTCTGTGCCAATTAAGTCGAGTAACGTAGAGATTTAGATATTGTC